TTCATTTCCTATTTCTAAATATTAACTAACCAAAATATTTTAAAACAGTGTGGATTAATTTTTGAATACCTAGATTTTTTTTTTTTTTCTAAAAATGCAGCTAGAATTTACTCAACTAAGCTGTTAAAAATGTCTTGTAGAACTTCTTTACATAATATACCAGAGCGGATGAGTAATAGGATGTAAAATAACAAAATTAACTGTCATGGCTCCTTGACTGATTTATATTTCATGTGAATCACATCTTCTATATGAACATAAAAATCTGCTGTAGAGCTTGCTTGATTCAATTATTGTGACTGAGGAAATGCTGGACCTCGGATGTTACTTTGAATACAATTTTTAGGATTGATTTAGAATCATTAGACAAATCTATAAAAAATAAAAATGCCAGCTCCAATAGCCTGCTTTAAAAAAAAAAATATCCTTACATAATTGAACATTGTATATTTCAAATGTTAAAAAATTGTGAGCACATTTGTGTGAAATTTGTCTTCTAGATAAGCATAAGGCCTGCACAACATACGGCCCGCCGGCACGCACTTTGCAGCCCTTGAAGTAACGACATATTCTTTATTATTATTATTTTCTTAATAGCTCCCCCCCACCCCAATGGTCCTATTTTCTTTCGGCCCCCACAAGTTTTTCTTATCAAGTATTAAATTTAGAGTTGTGCAGGCCTGTTCTAGATGATGGATCTTTATTTATATTCTGAAACTGTAAAGAAATTAACCAAATTTTAAAAACTGCTTTTATTTCATCGTTGCTACGATTTTTCATTGGTAGATGTTCTTTTCACTAGATACACTTAACACGGAGGGCATATAACGGTCAAGGTCATTGATGTCATAGTTTACTGCTGCTGTAACCTATTGATAGAGACAAACACTTCATGCAGATTATTTTCCTTTCGATTAATACCATTAGTGATGGCCAGTGGTTCTCACCTTTCAGAAACAAAATGTTTCACTTTACATTCCAAATAAGCAATTTTATTCAATTTTTTTATTTTTTTTTACAGACTGGTAGGGGATGCTAAAAATTGATGACACTAAAAAATTTTTTTAAAGTTTTCCCTTGGATTATTTCAACGATACATCCAGAGAGGTGTAGCCTTTTGATACTATTTTAATGAGCAGACTGGAGTGCATTGGATTATATCTTGAATGAATAATTAATATATTCTCAACATTTATTATATCTAATTCATAACTAATAACTTATTTACCATACTTACCACAGGTTTTGATTTAAAAAAAATCAAATGCAAGAGACTTTCAATCTTTCAGTGCCAGCATCATTAGACATTTATTAGTACGTCTATTATCATCTATGAATTAATATTGTAAATTTATCAGAAATCCGATTGAATTTTATGATTATAGAAATATTTACATCAATGTTAGAGCATTTGTAAGAGGCATTGTATTTTAACACAACTTAATTATTTATGAGTAAAAATGATTACATGCACATTTTTCATCATCATCGTATTAGCATTATTACTATTATTATAGTCCTTTAGTTAGTAGAAACGTCTGGCAAACAATTGGAAAAACCAAAGAAAAAAGCAATACAGACTTGAACATTGGCATATAAACTAGACTATATACATTGATAATTTAAAATAAAATTGTGAACTATAAACTTCACAATTTTTTTTTTTCTGTTTTCTCATTCAAGTGCGAATTTTAAAAAAAAATTATTGTCAAACACATTTATTAAAGTATATTTTCTCAAAATTAAAAATAAAGAAACATTTTTTAAAAATTAAACAACAATAAGCATAAAACTATTTAAAAAAAATAAAATGCAATACATTGCGTGGTAAAACTTGAGTGAGAAATAATAATGTTTACTTAGTTTAGGGGCATGGGAAAAAAGTATGCGGTAGCCCAATTAGTTAGGGGTGTTAACATCCCTGGGCTGATTTTTATTAATATTTATTAAAAACTTGTGTGTGGAGGAGGGGGGGGGTTGCAATTTTTAGATTTTGCCCCAGACAAGACAAATACGCCACAGTATAGCCAGCTATAGCCCAAGACAGCACACATTATGCCACAGTATAGCTGGGTGTCCAAGACAGCACAAATTGTTGAAAATATCAAATTGTTAAGCTAATTCACAAGGAAAATAATTACGTTTAAAATCATCAGGTCAAATAGAATTTTTGTCCCAAAATTTTACTGCGTTCCCTTAAAAAAATTGTGACGTATTGAATGGGTTAACATTGTTGGGGACCTTGTCAAATTAGATTTTCATCAGGTGCTTAATATCAAATTCTAACAAATACACTTCTCGAGAGAGCGATTATATATATATATATATATATATATATATATATATATATATATATATATATATATATATATATATATNGGGCTCGACAAACAGTGGTGAGAACCCGTGACACTTTTTGTTGTACCGCGAAGTCATAATTGTGTTTAAATAATTTACTTTATTGATTAGGGGGTGGGGGGTGGGGGTCAAAAGGGGGTGTCGAAAGCACATTGTGCCTACACAAAGTGGAGGAGTGGTCTAAAAATATACGCGTTCAACTGATGGGAAAAGGAGGGGGGGGGGGTGAAATTTTGAACTTTTTTTGCCTACTTACTATGTGGATGGCCGCTAATTGCCTCTCTTTCAAATTTCGTTTTGAATACGAGCGAGTGACGATCTTTTGGTAAAATTTTAATATTTAAAATGTCGCACTGTCATATGTCGCTTTAAATTTCCCCGCGTTGTCCAGACCCAATTTACATTTTTTTTTTTAAACTATCGTTTCAACCAATTGACATTGAAAGAATGCGAAAACACTTCAAAGTATCAGCGCTAGAAGAAAGTAGTTTATTTAATTACAGGTACAGTGTGAAGTGAAATACCATTTTGATAAAACACACCAATAGGGTGGAAGTATTGGTTACTCAGAATAATCCCATTACATGAATAAGGATGTGGGTGGCAGGACAGGTTTGTCAGAATTATCCCACTATTATTCTTTTCTCTCATATTTAGGTAGGATACACGTATAGATTTATGTAAATTTAATGTATACACTTATGAATGTTGTTGTTGATTTTTTTTGTACTGGTGAAAGCTTTTGCCGGAGCGTTTACATTCATTTAATGGGTTTCCTGTAGGATCGTTAGTAAATCTGAACTTATAGTGTCTGTGTCTAATTAATGATGTTGGTGGGATAATGGGTTAGTGAGAATAATCCCATTACATTAGAATTTGGATGACAGCATGGTATGAGAACTCTTCAGGGGTAGCAAATGTAAAAATGTTATAAAACTTTCTAGTTGGATATATATATATATATAAAAACTCTTGAATTTCGTAAAGAATATCAATGAAAAGAAGCATGCAATGTTTGAAGGCTGTAGCTAGAATACTTTTCCTCCCGATTCATTTGGCGTTCCTTAAAAATCCGGAAAATGCAAAATTGAGAAAAATGAAAAAAATAAAAATAAATAAAATTGTGTTTTTTTAAATTAGAGGCTGCATGAACGATATAGGATGCATACACCATGTACATATATCCTTTATGATTTAAAAAACAATTAGAAAACTAAGACAGAAAATATAGGAAAAAAATCAACACACGAACCTAATAAATAAAATGCATAAATACAAACATTCTCTGAAAACTTTTCCTATCAGACATTTGTTTAAAAACAATCCATCATAAAGTAAAGAATCTCAATTTAAATAAGCATGCAAAGTTTCAATTATGTAGTTCCAAAACTATTCCTCCTGATTCATCAATTGATGTCAGAAAAAAATATAATGAAAATGCTATATCTATAAAAGCTGAAAAAGACTCTGAAACAACATTGATGCATACATCATGAACACATCCCAAAAATTATTGTTAGGTTGTAAGACAAAATTTGGTATCAAATGAAAGATAATTGAATGGACTATATGTTGTAAACTTAATTCTTCAGTTTAACTAAAGGAACATTAAAATAAATTACCACAAATGACATCCGAATAGCATTGGTCTATTGGACCCGGGTTTGAATAGCCACAGCCATTTATTTACAAACATTCACATATTTATTTTATACAAGTAGTGGAAAATTGTTGGGGCAGCTATCTTTTTCTTTTCAGGGTAAAATTTTGCTTTCCCTTCGGTCGTCGTGGCGGAATTATCAATTTGGTTAAAGGTTGTAGGCGAGCAAAGGGGAAACAGTCACGAAGGCCGAATGGAGGTGCTGCAACCTCACAATTCTGTTTTCCCTTCAGCTCCAGGGGTGCTTCGCCCCCGGACCACCAGCCCCTTTGTGGCCCCCCTGCCTACGCTCCATGCATAGCCCCCCCCCCCAAATCCTAAGAATGGCTCTTCACTCAGTTTTTACTATTTATATCGATTTAGTTCGGTGGTTCTTAATCTGTGGGGTCGCATCCCCAACGGGGTTGACTGACAATATGCCAGTGGTCACTTTTTAACTATATAGATTTGAGTTTTTTGTTTTGTTTTTTTCCCTTCTTTTAAATGTGCATTTCAATTATTTGTACCAGCTAAAATTAAAAAAAAAATTATTATTTGCAGTGATTTGGTTAAGTTTCTTCTTGTCACTACTCTGTGACTACATTATAATAATTAGAACCCATGATCATACCAGTCATCTTATCATCTCAGCAACCATTTCTCAATTTCTCTTAATGATTATGCAAAAGGGTCTCCACGTCTTGTGAAATGTTCTCAATTAATCACGACATTAAAAAGGTCGAGAACCGCTGTTTTAGTTGAACATTGTATTTTTTTTTTTTTAAATTCTCAAAGTGACAGTTTATATTATAATTTTATAAATGAAAATAAACATAAAAAGTTACTCGGCTCATCCATGTTGAAACTTAACTAGCACAGAATATTTCCTTGTCTCCATGAAAGAAGACAAGAAACCAGACGCGAAACTATGCAAGACCTGTCAATCCGTTCTTTCAATCAGTTATGCATTTTAATTAATTTTTTGCATCTTAAAACTTCCGTCGTGCAGCTGATATCGTCGTATTTAATGTACCCCTTTGCGCTGGCCATGGGCGTCACGCCAGAAGATTGCAGGCGGGTCGCAATGCTATGTGGGTACCGGCTTGGCAGCTCTATCCTTATTGCCTTCCTTAAGGTACGCCCCGTGTCCAGGCTTCATCAAATTTTAACACGCACTTTCGTGAATTCATTTACCCAAATTTTTAAAAATCCTGTATATTTACTTTACTTTTTTTCCCCGTGTATTTCTGGGGATGGTGGCAAAATTTTGGGATGACAAATCGACCCACTTCCAGTAAACCTTTCAAAGTTGAAAAAAATTATCGCAAAAGTGTTTGGGTGCGCAATATATTCTTATGCTTTTTCTGAAATGGTTGGTGAAATATATCTGAAGTGTAAAAGCTGATGGGACATGAGAAAAGTAATATATTAAAAAATAATTAAAATGCATCATATAAATGGATTTGTACCAAAAACTTTGTTTTTAAGCGTTGTTTAACTAACTTGCACTTTCGTGAAATCTATTTCCCTTTTTTTTAATAATTATGCATTTAAAAAATTATCCGTATTATTAAAACTTATTGATTTAAATATTTTTCTTAAGCAGTATTTTTATTGATTAAAAAAATACAATATATCTTTTGATCATGCATCCTTCATTATATTATAAAGAGTAATATTTATTATTACCAAAAGTTGAAGATCTATTGTTGGTTGAACCTCCCTCGCTGTGTTTCGCCAGTTCGTTGAACTTAAGAACAACAGGTTGAAATATGTCGACTACATGTTAAAGACGGGCGGAAACGGCACGATGACTACGTGAACGATGACGTCATCCTCGACCAGTGGGGAGTAACGCTTCCGTTTGGATTCATCTCAGTAAGCTTCAATTAATCTCAGCTTCACTTTATCTCAGTAAGGTTGAATTTATCTCACTAAGATTGACTTAACTTCACTAAAGTTCACATTATCTCACTAAGGTTGACTTTATCTCAATACTGTTGCCTTTATCGAACTAAGATAGTCTTTATCACTAAGGTTGACTTTTTCTCACTAAGGTTGACTTTAAATCACTTATTTAACCGGCAGTTCGCAACATACTCTCCCAACTGTGGAGAACTCAAACGGTGGGAAAATATTGACACATATAGTAGTCAAATAGTAGTCAAATATTGTATGAAAATATAGTAAGCAAATATAGTAGCCAAATATAGTAGTCAAATATAATAGGCAAACATAGTAGCCTAATATAGTTGTCAAATATAATAGTCATATATAGCAGGCAAATATAGTTGGAAAACATAGTAGGGAAAAATAGTAGGCAAACATAGTAAGCTAATATATTAGTGAGATATAGTACTGAAATATAGTGGTGAAATAAAATAGTCAAATATAGTAGACAAATATAGTAGCATATAGTATGCAAATATAGTATGAACATAAAGTAGGAAAATATAGTAGGAAACTATTGTAGGCAAGGGTTTTTCCTCTATGGTACACACCGGAAACTAAGAACCCCACGAAATCGTCTGTCTCCCAAGACGAAGTTGGGGGTTGCATCGGCATCTTTCTCCGGGAGAAGGTACAATTAAAAAAGTCTCCACAATATCCCTTTAACATGGCAAGTACGCCTACATGGCACAGCTCAGCACGCGGAGCTGGTTGCCAATGTACCAGCCGGGGTTTTAAGATCATAAGCTCAAACTTTAAATAAGAAATATGTGTTTTAGTTAGTGTTCAAATATAGTATGTGTTTCGCTATACAGCGACGACTTTGTTTTATTCTTAGCATAAACTTTTGAGGAACTTGCACCTTAGACAAAACGTTGAGGACTACTTCTGTTATATGTAAAGACGCTTAGGATATTTTTTAAAAAAGGAAATAACCCTGACCTCAGTTAAATGAACCTGCCCTCAGTCAAATAATCCTGCCCTCAGTCAAATAATAATCTCTCGGTCATATAATCCTGCCCTCAGTTGAATAATCCTGTCCAGAGTCAAATAATGATTCTGCCCTCAGTCAAACAATCCTATCCTCAGTCAAATAATCCTCCCCTTAGTAAAATAATTCTGCCCCCAGTCAAATAAGCATGCCCTCAGTCAAAAAATCCTGTCCTCATTCAAATAATCCTGTTCTCAGTCAAATAATCCTGACGTCAGTCAAATAATCCTGCCCTCAGTCAAATAATCCTGCCCCCAGTCAAATAAGCATGCCCTCAGTCAAATAATCATGTCCTCAGTCACATAATCCTGACCTCAGTTAAATAATACTGCCCTCAGTAAAATAATCCTGCCCCCATCCGAATAATTATGCCTTAAGTCAAATAATACTGACCTCAGTCAAATCATTCTGCCCTCAGTCAAATAATCCTGACCTCAGTCAAATAATCCTGCCCTCAGTCAAATAATTCTTCCCCCAGTCAAATAAGCATTCCCTAAGTAAAATAATCATCCCCTCAGTCAAATAATAATGTCTCGGTCAAATAATCCTGCCCTCAGTCAAATAATCATGAACTCAGTCAAATAATCCTGCCATCAGTCAAAAAATCATGTCAGTCAAATAATCTTCTCCTTGGTAAAATAATTCTGCCCTCAGTCAAATAAGCATGTACCCAGTCAAAAAATCCTGCCCTCAGTCAAATAATCCTGTCTTCAGTCAAATAATTCTGGTCCCAGTCCAATAAACATGCCCTCAGTCAAATAATCCTGTCCTCAGTCAAATAATCCTGCCCTCAGTCAAATAATCCTGCCCCAGTCAAATAAGCATGTCCTCAGTCAAATAATCCTGTCCTCAGTCAAATAATCCTGACCTCAGTTAAATAATACTGTCCTCAATCAAATAATCCTGCCACAGTCGAATAATTATGCCTTCAGTCAAATAATCCTGACCTCAGTCAAATCATTCTGCACTCAGTCAAATAATCCTGCCCCCAGTCAAATAAGCATGCCCTCAGTCAAATAATCCTGCCCTCAGTCAAATAATCCTGTCCTCAGTCAAACAATCCTGCCCTCAGTCAAATAATCCTGACCTCAGTCAAATAATCCTGACGTCAATCAAATAATCCTGCCCTCAGTCAAATAATCCTGCACCCAGTCATATAAGCATGCCCTCAGTCAAATAATCATGCCCTCAGTCAAATAATCCTGTCCTCGGACAAATAATCCTTCCCTCAGTCAAATAATCCTGCCCTCTGTCAAATAATCCTGACGTCAGTTAAATAATCCTGCACCCAAACAAATAAGCATGCCCCCAGTCAAATAAGCATGCCCTCAGTCAAATAATCCTGACCTCAGCTAAATAATACTGCCCTCAATCAAATTATCCTGCACCCAGTCAAAAAATTATGCCTTCTGTCGAATAATCATGACCTCAATCAAATAATTCTGCCCTCAGTCAAATAACCCTGACCTCAGTTAAATAATACTGCACTCAGTCAAACAATCCTGCCCCCAGTCAAATAATCCTGGCCTCAGTCAAATATACCTTACCTCAGTCAAATAATTCTGCCCTCAGTCAAATAATTCTGCCCCAAGTCAAATAAGCATGCCCTCAGTCAAATAAGCATGCCCTCAGTCAAATAATCCTGTCCTCAGTTAAATAATCCTGTCCTCAGTCAAATAATCCTGACCTTAGTCAAATAATCCTCCCCTCAGTCAAATAATCCTAACCTCAGTCACATAATCCTGCCCTCAGTCAAATAATCCTGACCTCAGTCAAATAATCCTGCCCTCAGTCAAATAATTCTGCACTCAGTCAAAAAATCCTGCCCCCAGTCATATAAGCATGCCCTCAGTCAAATAATCCTGCCCTCAGTCAAATAATCCTGTCCTCAGTCAAATAATCCTGACCTCAGTCAAATAATCCTGCCCTCAGTCAAATATTCCTGCCCCCAGTCAAATAAGCATTCCCTAAGTCAAATAATCCTCCCCTCAGTCAAATTATAATATCTCAATCAAATAATCCTGTCCTCAGTCAAATAATCCTCCCCAAAGTAAAATAATTCTGCCCCCAGTCAAATAAGCATGCCCTCAGTCAAATGATCCTGCCCAAAGCAAATTAATCCTGTCTTCAGTCAACTTATTCTGACCACATTCAAATAATCCTCCCCTTAGTAAAATAATTCTGCCCCCAGTCAAATAAGCATGCCCTCAGTCAAATTATCCTGTTCTCAGTCAAATAATCCTGTCCTCAGTCAAATAATTCTGACGTCAGTCAAATAATCCTTCCCCCAGTCAAATAATCCTGCCACCAGTCAAATAAGCATGCCCTCAGTCAAATAATCCTGCCCTCAGTCAAATAATCCTGTCCTCAGTCAAATAATCCTGACCTCAGCTAAATAATACGGCCCCATTCAAATAATCCTGCACCCAGTCAAAAAATTATGCCTTCTGTCAAATAATCCTGACCTCAGTCAAATAATTCTGCCCTCAGTGAAATAATCCTTCCTCTTGTCGAATAAGCATTCCCTCAGTCAAATAATCCTGCCCTCAGTCAAATAATCCGGACCTCAGTCAAATAATCCTGCCCTCAGTCAAATAATCCTGACGTCAGTCAAATAATCCTGCCCTCAGTCAAATAATCCTGCACCTAGTCAAATAAGCATGCCCTCAGTCAAATAATCCTGTCCTCAGTCATATAATCCTGACCTCAGTTTAATAGTACTGCCCTCAGTCAAATAATCCTGCACCAGTAGAATAATTATGCCTTCAGTCAAATAATCCTGACCTCAGTCAAATAATTCTGCACTCAGTCAAATAATCCTGCGCCCAGTCATATAAGCATGCCCTCAGTCAAATAATCCTGTCCTCAGTTAAATAATCCTGACCTCAGTCAAATAATCCTGCCCCCAGTCAAATAATCCTTCCCTCAGTCAAATAATTCTGCCCTCAGTCATATAATCCTTACGTCAGTCAAATAATCCTGCCCTCAGTCAAATAATCCTGCCCCCAGTCAAATAAGCAATCCCTAAGTCAAATACTCCTCCCCTCAGTCGAATGATAATATCTCAATCAAATAATCCTGCCCTCAGTCAAATAATCCTGACCTCAGTCAAATAACCATGCCCACAGTCAAATAATCCTGTCCTTAGTCAAATAATCCTCCACATAGTAAAATAATTCTGCCCCCAGTCAAATAAGCATGCCCAAAGTCAAATAATCCTGCCCTCAGTCAAATAATCCTGTCTTTAGTCAAATAATTCTGACCACATTCAAATAATTCTCCCCTTAGTAAAATAATTCTGCCCCCAGTCAAATAAGCATGCCCTCAGTCAAATAAACCTGCCCTCAGTCAAATAATCCTGTCCTCAGTCAAATAATCCTAACCTCAGACAAATAATCTTGCCCTCAGTCAAATAATCCTGCCTCCAGTCAAATTAGCATTCACTTAGTCAAATAATCCTGCCCACAGTCAAATAATCCTGTCATCAGTCAAATAACCCTGACCTCAGTTAAATAATACTGCCCTCAGTCAAACAATCCTGCCCCCAGTCAAATAATCCTCGCCTCAGTCAAATATACCTGACCTCAGTCAAATAATTCTGGCCTCAGTCAAATAATTCTGCCCCCAGTCAAATAAGCATGCCCTCAGTCAAATAAGCATGCCCTCAGTCAAATAATCCTGTCCTCAGTCAAATAATCCTGTCCTCAGTCAAATAATCCTGACCTTAGTCAAATAATTCTGCCCTCAGTCAAATAACCCTAACCTCAGTCAAATAATCCTGCCCTCAGTCAAATAATCCTGCCGCCAGTCAAATAAGCATTCCCTTAGTCAAATAATCCTGCCCACAGTCAAATAATCCTGTCATCAGTCAAATAACCCTGACCTCAGTTAAATAATACTGCCCTCAGTCAAACAATCCTGCCCCCAGTCAAATAATCCTGGCCTC